ATTGATAGGAGGGGGTGGGGTCCAAAAATCGTTCTCTAGGACAGACCCGACAATATTTTGGCTAGGATATCCATGTGTTACATATGAGATGCATGTATTAAATTGATAGGAAGGGGGGGGGGGTAAATAAATCGTTCTATAGGTAATTACTTTTTTATGAGGTTAAATTTTCGACACAAATATAATAAATGTATTAAAATAATGATTTCAAATTAAAAGAAGGATCTAATCGAGATTAGGAGAATCTTGGTGTGCTCCTTCCCATACTAATAATATTAATTTCTGAGGGGGTCATTTACTAGGCTTTAGCCCTCATTTTGTGTTAATATGAGACATATATCATAAACCATTGATTGATCAATATTCCAGGTGTTAAAATGTCGGTAATCCAACGATGGATGGATTTCTTCCTTGACGCTGGAATTCCTGACGAAACCGCGGCAACATATGCCACCAACTTCTCAAACAATAGGTATCATAATTGATCGAGAAAAACATGGCAACATAGATTATTGACTCAAATCTATCTAAAATTATTAAAATTCTACTTCTATAAATAAATACTAAAAGGATTTATGGGGTATCAATAAATTTTAAAAAATTGTTTATCGTTTAAAAAAATAACTTTGAAGAGCTAATATGTACATGCGGAAATAAAGGTTTCTAATTATTCAATACCTATTTTGGCTTTAAAGCTATAAGACAGCCCAAAATTTGGTAGAACTTTTTGTTAGATAGATTAATAAAGTAAATGTATTCAAAATACACAATCATTAAATTTTAGATCTTGTCAAATTATCAAATGATAAAGGTTGCATGATTATTTATGATGATATGGGGAAAAAAATTATATCACAAAGTTTCATTACTCTTTTTAATACTTATTCCCAAAAATTCATGTATTTCCCCCCCTGAAAATTATCAAACATCAATTTTCCCCCAATTCAGCGAATACAACCCTAAAAGACATAAAACAGATTTTCAAAACGCGCTGAGGCGAAGGGGGGTTGATTTTTCAAAAAATAAACACCCCTGCTGTTTTCAAACCTGTACTTTAGGATGGAGATGAGTATGTTGACGGATCTGAGTAAGGATTATCTCAAGGAGCTCGATATAACACTCCTCGGAGACATCATTCTTATCCTTAAACATGCCAAGAAGGTGGCAGAGAAACAAACACAAGATAGAGTTCTTGGAGATAAAGATCAGGTTTCGTTTGGTTATTTTAAACACAATATCAAGTTCTTGTTAGGCAAAGATCAGGTTTAAATTAAACACAAGATTTAGTTCTTGGCGACAAAGAGGTTTGAATTAAATACAAGATATAGTTCTTGGCGACAAAGAACAGGTTTGAATTAAACACAAGTTTGAGTTCTTGGCGACATAGGGTTGGGTTCCTACTTCCTACTGACATGCCGTTTCACCTTTTTGATACTTATTTTAAAAAAGTCATTCGTTTTCATACCGGTTAAACTTACATAGCTTATTTTACTTTGCGCTGAACAGTGAACGTGTTTACCATAAATAAGAAGGGAAGAGTGGAGATTTAAAAATGACAAAACAATCTAGCAAACAGGAATTCTAGCAATTACATCTATTAAACTACTAGCTGGAGAACCCAGGTTACTCCCGCCGTTTACCCGCGCTTAGTCTTAAATTAGGAATTTAGCAGTGCCTGGTGTTGTGGTGGTGTTTAAAATTTGTTCAGCCCATGTTAAACCCCGGGATACCCAAGAGGTCCTTAAAAATATTAATTAGGCCAGCTATAGCTAACATTTATATACACAAATATATACAAATATATGTTTATATATGTTATATATGAACGAAGAGCTTTAATATATAGATTTATGAAAAACATATCACAAATTATTGACTAGGTTAGGGCTAAATAAACTACATTTCTACAGCACTCTCGGAAACAGTAATGAAGTAGCTCAGTTAACCATTCTTAAACTTCTCATACTTTTTAAATACATCCGATCTTTCGTACTTAAATTAATTGTCAATGAAGAAATTATAGCTTGTCAAATGGTTTGTTTACATTTAGTAAACGTCAAAGCGGCTCAGTCGATCAGGCTCAAATTTCGATGTTAAAAAATTTGGACATCCGCCATTAAAAACAAAAAATTTCGCTTATTTTATATTTTTTCCACCATTGTTATGATACTGTATGTCAAAGCTACAATTATTACAAGCTAATGTTTTTGGAAAAGAATTATAATAAATTGCTAAATTATCTGTCCGTAGGAGCTGGAGTGCTCGAAAAGCTCTGTGTTCAGTCGACTGGGAGGGCAGGAGGAGCAGGAGGCTCAGCAGAGGGAGGAAGAGGAGGAGGAGGAGAAGGAATTGAAGAGGGAGAAGAAGGAGATCATAATAAAGAGAGCAAAGGTAGTTGTGTCATTAATTAACTGTTACATTAATTTCCGTTCTTTGGAAAATAAAAATATTTAGTTAAAAAAAAAATTCGTTCTTTTGCGATTGCTTTTTATTGGGGTTCGACCTTGATTTCCACCTGATTGTTGACTTTTAATTTATTTAGTTTCAAACTAAAAATTAAAAAGAATTTTTTTTTTGTATTTTCAACCCGTCTTGGCACAGTTTTTTTTACGTTGAATATTAATATAACGTGTGGAAATGGCGAATTAAGTTATAAGAAGGACTAAGAAAATAATTAATATTTTAATGTAGTTTTTCCTTTAAATTTCCGTAGCTACAAAAAAATATAACTTGCAAAGATTTTATTTTCAATGCATGTGTTACAAATACTTTTAGCATTCATGATTTAAAACAAAACTAATCATTTATGTAAACCTTTTGTGCAGATTGAATCCGATTTCAGTTATAAAAAAGAAACCAAGAATTATCTAATTAAAGCTGTTAAACTGGAAAAACAAGACAAACATTCAGCTTTTGATAGATTGGAAAAATCAGATTCTACTCAGGTACCAATAACTGTACAAATTAGGCCAGAATTTTCATTTCCGGTTAAGGAACTGTTTACTGAGGATTAAGTTCAAAATCTTGAAAATTTTGTACGGTACGTTACAACTACATGTCATGTTTCCCTCATATTCATTTATATACATACAGGGTGTCCCACATCATATTAGACCGTCATCAGGTCTAAATTGCGAATTTCGGGACTAATAAGAAAATTTAATTAGAATAAATCAATTTGAAAAATAACATAAGGCTTATATAATAATTTTCTTGCGGAAAATCATAAGTTTTTCGAGTATTAAGGGTTTATTTTGTCGTTAAAGATTAGAGATAATCTAATATGATATGGGACGCTCTGTATTATATATAGCCTTGTGGTGAATATTGAAAATAGGAGTCAAACTTGCAGTTTTTTTAACCACATTGTACTCTTTTCCCCCAAATCAGTTATTTTCCACCAAATCATTTATTTTCCCCCAAATCATTTATTTTCCCCCAAATCATTTATTTTCCCCCAAATCATTTATTTTCCCCCAAATCATTTATTTTCTCCCAAATCATTTATTCTCCCCAAAATCATTTATTCTCCCCAAAATCAGTTATTTTCCACCAAATCATTTATTTTCCCCCAAATCAGTTATTTTCCACCTAATCATTTTTTCCCCCCAAATCATTTATTTTCCACCAAATCATTTATTTTCCCCAAATAATTATTTTCCCCAAGTTATAAATATTTCCCCGAAAGTGATTTATTTCCCCAATCATTATTTTCCCAATTTTTGTGGGATAAAAGTTTTTTATTGGGGGGGCCCCCCCTCCCAATAAAAAATTCATACAAAAGGTGAAAACACTGAAAAAGAATTTTTTAGCGTAGATATTGAATTTACTAGTTAATTTTTAAAATACAATTAATTTTTACCCTCGTTTTACATCTGTTACTCGAATAATTAACCAGAAAAATGAATTAATTTAATTATGTTTGAAAATTCATGAAGATTTAACCTAGAGCACAATTTATATTTTATGTGAATCACCAGATATGTAAATTTTGAATAAAAATATCCTCTTTTTATTAACTTCCCAATATTAAAACATAATATAAATTTTCCTCATTATTTTTTTCCATATTAAATTAATTATTTTGTTGTACGCTTTTACAAAGAATTCAATCTTAAACCTTATATTTTCTTATATTTGGGGTTCAACCTCCCAAGCAAAATTTGTGTTTGGGTGGGGGGGGGGGGGGGGGGGGTTCTAAAAATATATTTTCCATGTTTAAGGCCAAGCATGCAAAAATGTCAATGCCCGATCTACGACGTTACTCTAGAAACCTTTATCTTAAAAACTTTGGAAAAGAAATCACAATTGAAAATAATCAGCTTTCCAAATTGTAAATTTGGTCATACTTGGTCAGATAAAGGTTTCTAGGGTACCGTTATGAATCGGGCGTTTGCCATCTTTGCATGGAGGATCACTTGAAATTTGGCTTACAGTCCCTTTAAAGAGACTTGTTAAGGAGTGTCGTGTGTCGAGTAGCGTAGAACAAGAACTGAATCCAAGTAGAGGAATTCTCAAACAACGTGGCGGGCAGAAGGAATATATTCTTACATCTATATTTTTTAAGTAGTAATATCTGTCTGTCCGATCATAACTCATGAACCTTGACCGATTTCCCTCTAGTTTTGATGGATGGGAAAAAATATTTTTAATTGATGATATCTCATTGATTGAAACATAAATTTTATTTTGTGTTCTTTTTCAATTGTATCCGCGTATTATTTTTTTTATTTTGGATAGATCCTAGTGTGCCATTTTCAAGGTCTAGGATAGAACCAAGAATACCAATACCTTAGATTCACAGGTATTCAAACTATTAACATTAAGATGGGCATACATCTTTCACCAGTGCACCTCGTTTATACACTCGAGTCTTGCTTAATCTTATTTATTTAGTCTTTAGATACAGGAACAAGAGCTCTAAGCCGTGAAACTGAAAAAACACAAAATCAGTCA